ATACCTGGATGACTGAGAAAACAAACTTTGTGTTTTTGAAACCATTAGTGAAAAGGCCAGACCTCAGGGGTATCTGAGGCAGGCTTGAAACACAAGAGTCAGGGTGGTTTCTGGGTAATACCAGATGGCTAGGCCTCAGACTGACGAAGCCTCTTGGACGAGGGGCGAAACGTTTCTTTTTAACAAAAAAACGAAGTCCAGATGACATGATTCAACCTTTTTTGTTAACATATTTTTTAGTTTAAAACATATGGCTAAAACTACATTTGATATCTTTTGCACTGTTTTGCAGTACAAGAAAGAAGCCTAATACTTCATTTGTTTATTATTTAAAAACTCTCTGGACCTAGTAGTGCAATTTTCTTAATTCAAAATATATGATGGCAAAAGAACACCCTATGCTTTTTTTTTTTTAGCAAGTTTTATACCAAAAACATCGCAATATATATTGTTATCGCCACCCTTCACAATACATATTGTGATATGAATTTTATGCCATATCGCACATTCCTAATTGGAACATTAAAATTTTAATCTAAATAATAATAATAATAATACTTTATTTATAAAGCCCTTTAAAACAACCACAGCTGCCACAAAGTGCTGTACATATAAAATCAAGAACATTTAAACACATAAAAACAGTTGTTAAAACATTAAGATCAATAAAAAAAAATTAAAACAGTGCAGAGCAAAATTCAGTGTGTGCTAAAAGCCAGGGAGTAAAAATGTGTTTTTAAAAGAGTTTTAAAACTGGACAGTGAAGGGGCTCGTCTGATGGGAAGAGGGAGATTGTTCCACAGTCTTGGAGCAGCAACAGAAAAAGCTCTGTCCCCTCTGAGCCTCCGCTGAGACCTCGGCACCTCCAGGAGCAGCTGATCAGCTGATCTGAGGCACCGAGCAGGAGAGTATGGGTGAAGCAGCTCTGAGAGGTGGGATGGAGCAAGACCATTTAAACTTTAAAAAACAAATAAAAGAATATTAAAATGAACTCTAAAATGAACAGGCAGCCAGTGGAGTGAAGCCAGAGTGGGGGTGATGCGCTCCCTTTTTTGAACTCCAGTTAGAAGCCGAGCAGCAGCGTTCTGGACCAACTGGAGGCATCTGAGGGAGGACTGACTGACGCCAAGGTAAAGAGCGTTGCAGTAATCCAGCCGAGAGGTGATGAAGGCATGGATTACTGTTTCCAGCTGCTGTTTGGTAAGGATGGACTTTACCTTAGCCAGCTGTCTGAGGTGATAAAAACTGGTCTTGACTACCGCTCCAATCTGGGAATCCAATTTAAAATCACTGTCCATTTTAAAACCCAAGTTAGAAACAGTTTTCTTTACATGTGGTGCCAGAGGGCCCAGATCAACAGGGCAAGGTTCACAAGAGCCACTAGGACCAAACACCATCACTTCTGTTTTCTTTTCATTTAAATTTAAGAAGTTTAAAGACATCCAGGCTTTGATGTCTTCAAGACACAACAGAAGTGGCCTAATTGAGGGGGCATCTTTCTTTTTTAGTGGCATATAGATCTGACTATCGTCAGCGTAACAATGAAAAAAGATCCCATGCTTTCTAAGGATTGATCCCAATGGAAGCAGGTAAAGGGAGAAAAGCAGGGGACCTAAAATAGAGCCCCGTGGAACCCCAAGACACAGAGGAGCAGTGGAGGATTCAGACCCAGCTATGTTGACAGACATGGTTCTGTCTGCCAGATAGGACCTAAACTAGCTCAGTGCAGTACCACAAATACCCACTTGGCGCTGTAAGCATGATATTAAAATGTTATGGTCCACAGTATCAAAGGCAGCGGTTAGGTCGAGCAGGACAAGAACCACATGTTCACCAGAATCATTAGCCATAAAAATATCATTAAAAACTCTACCTAGAGCTGATTCTGTGCTGTGACGAGTTTTGAAGCCAGACTAAAAAACCTCCAGGATATTGTGCTCATCCCGAATACATTTGACCTGTGAAAATACAATTTTTTCTAAAATTTTTGAAATAAAAGGCAGCTTGGAGATGGGCCTAAAATTAGCCAAGACAGTTTGGTCTAGGCTAGGCTTTTTAAGCAGGGGCTGCACCACAGCATGTTTAAAACGTATTGGGACAACACCTGAGGACAGACTGCTATTGATAACAGCAAGAATCACCTGCCTGATGCTGGAAAACACCTCTTTTAAAAGACGAGGGGGGACAAGGTCACGAGGAGAACCTGATGGTTTAATATGGCCGACCACATCCTCCAAAAGGGTCAGGGTCACTGGTTCAAATCTGTCGAACACAGCCAGGTAGGGGACCAAGCAGGAGGGGTCAAAAGCAGGGGCTGAAAAAAGGGCCCTTGTGATAACAACCTTATTTATAAAAAACTGCAGGAAGTCATTACAAAGTTCAGTAGAGGCTTCCAGACAGACAGGTTGTGGGGCCTTCAGGACAGAGTCAATAGTTTTAAAAAGGACACATGGATTATTATGATTGGACACAATAATATCTGACAAGTGTTGTTTTTTGGCCTCTTTAATAGTGTTCTGGTACTAACGTTGACAGTCCTTTAAAATGTAAAATGAAACATCTAGTTTATCCCTTTTCCATCTCCGTTCAGCTCTGCGGCACTCCTGTCTGACTGCAATAGTTTTTTCATTAAACCAGGGTTCAGATCTGGCTTTAGGCCGCACCAATTTAGATGGAGCTACACAGTCCAAAATGGTTTGACAGGAGGAGTCAAACCAGGAGCTCAGCTGTTCGGTGTCAACAGCAGAGCCAGAGGGAGCACAGAGCTGTTCAAAGGCAGCAGAGAACTGACCAGCGGTGGAAGGGTTAAAAACTCTACGTCGCTGGGCAGGAGTGCAGGATTTAATTGGAGCACAGGACAAACCAACATCAAATAAAACAGGCCTATGGTCAGAAATCACGTTATCATATAGTTCCAGGTCGTTCACAGACAAGCCGTGAGAGAGAACCAGGTCCAACGTGTGTCCATG